TCCACACCCGCTCCCTCCTCCCCGCGGACCCGGCCCCGCGCGCCGCCCGGCCGCCGCCACTCCCGCCCCGCCGGCCCCGCGGTGACGGGCCCCCACCGCCCCCCCATACCTGCCGCCGGCCCCGCCGGCCCCGCGCTGTCTCCTCTCGGACCCGAGGCGCGCGAGCGCCGCTCCCTCCCCGCCACCCTCCTTCCCTCCCTGCCTGCCCGGCGCTGGCTGGCCGCCGCACTGCGCACGCGCGCGGGGCGCCGCGGCGCCCTCTGGGAGAGGGAGCCCTTCCGGCGAGACCGGCCGACCGGCGGCGCCCTCATGAGGGGCGGTGCGGTCCCCGGGGGAAGACTACGATTCCCGGCATGCAGCGCGCGCCCCCCGCGCTGGTCAGGCGTACCACTCCCTCCGCGGGCCATCTGGGGGTTGTAGTTCAGCGGGTGACGGCGCCGCGCCCGGGAGGGTCTGGGGACGGGGAGGAGGAGCCGCCTCTCTCCCTCCACGCCTGAGGGGCGGCGGTGGCGGCCGACGGGAGGGCGGGTCGCGAGTCCGGGCACGGAAGGGATGGCGGTGGCCGCAGTGGTGCAGCAGCCCCTAAAGGCAGGGAAGTGTTAGGCCGTAACCCGCCGCCCGCCAGCGCCGCCGGCAGGGAGCTTCGGACCGGGAGGCAGTGAAAGTGACAGGGATGCCCCGGGGGCTGTTACAGCTCGGGATAACGCAGCGGGCTGATATTTCCGCCGTAGTTAACGCAGGTTCCATAGCCGTGGCCTCGGGGTCACCGCAGAGCGCGTCACTGCGGGTGCGGCGAACAGCGGAGCCATTTCGCGGTGCCACGGGCGGTCCCGCGGCAGCGACAGGCACGGGGGCTGTGGCAGGGACAGACACAGCGGCCGTGGCAGCGACAGACACAGCCGCCGTCGCTGACCGCAGAGACGGCACGGAAAGCCATGATAAGTTGCCAGTCAGCCACGGAGTACGATGCGGTAGCCGCATACATTGGATTGTGTGGCACAAGCCGGCCCGCACACCCACAGAGGAGGACAGGATGGCGGGAGGAGGAGCCCAAGCAGCGCCCTGCCGGGCCCATCTCAGGAGCCATCAACCCACCAAAGGCCCATCTCGAGGGTGGGCAGGTGGAAACCCCAGTTAAGGACTCAGAAGAAGGGACACCTTGTCCAGCCCCCTCCCAGGGGAGCCTCAGCCCCAGAGCACCTTTAGGACTGGAGGTGTCACTGTCTTCAGGGTTGTGGGACACACAATGGGATACAGGGGAGGAGCATTTGGGCGTTGCACAGGATGCATTAAGGGGTGTTCAGGGCAGAAACAGAAGGGATTTAGGTGACTTGTGGAGAAACAAGCATGGGACATGGGAATAAAAAGGGCCAATAGTGTGTAAATGGTTTGGCCACACCCTGCACCTTATCAGTGCAGCCTGTCCAGTCTTCTCACTAAACTCCTTTCACAATTTGCCCTGGGTGAGGGCCTTTCATTACCACATAGTAATGGTGTGGAGGGATCCAGGTGCCAGCAGCTTGGACTTGTGCCCCCGGAGCAGCATTGGGCATGGGCATTTAGGTGAGTGTAAACAGCTATAACTAGCCAGCAAGGGGGCCTGGGAGCCAGGAAAAGGCTGTGAAGGAGGAGACAGCTCCCAGAGCGACCAGAGAAGGCCCATCCAGCTGCCAAGAAGACTGAGAGGCCTGGGGGCAAAACCGCCACAGGGAATTTACTACTGGGAGACCAAGGGTACCAGAGAGATTGGGATCGAGGGGCAACTACTGGGCAGACAACCTGAGCCAAGCTGCTGGAGGGAGAGACTCTTCCTGTGTGTGTGTGGATACATATTTAAATATACATGGATGCTCACTAGCACACCTCCATCCTCCTCAGCCAAACCGGGGCCGGGGTGGGGGGGAGAATGAGGCCGCTGGCACTGTGTTTGTGTGAGTGCTCTGTGTGGCTGGATGTGTAATCTGTGTCCATGTTTGAGAGGTGTATATGTGGATTTGTACATGTGCCTACTGGGAAATACAAGCTCAACCAGGCTATCACATGGGGGCATGGAGCTGCAGAGGCCTCACCTCTCTCAGGCTACCAGATATCACCCAGTTTTCCCATATCAGTAGATGTGTATATTTGTATGTATCATACATATCCATATCATGTACATATGTATATGTCATAGGGCTTCACATAGAAGAATGGCATTTCTACACATAGAATTGAGATAAGATAGATTAAAGCTGACAGGCAACAGCTTTCTCCCAAAGCATTTGCACCAAAAAATAAATAACAGTTACACTTTTCTTTCAGAGATTTCATGTTTCTTGCATCCTACCCAAGCATATCTGTACTGCAGCAGGAGGTCTGGTTACAGTATTGGTTGGGATTCCTGAGATGCCTTAATCAAATTAGCACAGGTAAGGGTGGCAGCAGAGATCTTCAAAGTTTCCTTGTTTTGATAAAAGTCTGCTTTCAGGTGCAGCTAAGCTAATGCAGTGGTGTGCTGCAGGTACAAGGATGAATTCCTGTTTCCTGTCTCTACTGCTCCCTTCTCTCTACCAAGTACACATTTTCAGGCACGGAGAACTATGTTCATTCTGCATGTCTTGTGATACCCTACCCTAAAAGACCACCACACATGGTGTCTTTTTGATTCAAGTCATCACCTGCAGGGAAGGATTTGCAAAACTTGTGGGCTTGTGTTAGATGTGGCTGTGAGGCAGCGTACCAAACAGAGTGAGACAGGTCCAGGCTGTCTGGGTCTGTGTGATCACTGAGCAATGCATGGAAGAGCAAAAAGCACCAGTTCAGACTGACTGAAAACACAGAGATCTAAAACCAGGCTGACGTCAGGTGCTGGTAAAATTAAGACAGAAGGTAGCTTCATTTCTGACAGCAACTTCTGAAGTTCTGAGTATTTTAGTAATCTGGGTTAATTCAAATGGAGGGCGTTTACTCCTAAACCAGTCATACAGAACTTTGAGAAGAATTTTACTTCACACAAAAGCTAGTCATACCCCCAGCATGTTTTTAAACACAGCCTCTAAAGATGACAACAACATTGAAGGCTAATGAGTGACCCTGAACCGGGGGGATGAGGGTGGGAGTGGACAGGGTAAACAGATCAGCGATCACATTGTGATTGGGTGAAATTTGGGTTTAGGCATACTACTACAGGCTCTCATTTTCCACAGTGCAGTGGGATGCCAGAAAATGGTATCACGATAATACAGCCCTTTCTAAAAAAGGCCACAGAGCCAGACTGCTCACCATATTTAGCACTACTAAATTGCGATTGGCACCAGCAAGCCTTGGTTGTCACCCACTGACATTTTGTTCAGCCCTAAAAATGAAAACAGTTGCCTGGACTGTTTCAAACTATGAAAGTCACTGGGGAATCACAGATAGGGAAAGAGAAAGATAAGGCAAAGTAACAAGTTCATCAGGACTTAGGATCTCAGAGCCGCCACAGCCAAAAGGGGTGGTTCTGTGTTTCTGAGGTGGTGAAAGGTGGCCACGTATGGCAGCAGGGTCACAAGAGGTGTCTGCAGCCAGATGAGGTGAGCACCCACCAGGGAGAAGCAGTGCCTGCCCTATCTGCACCCCTGAACCTCACTGACAGACAGTAGCTGTTTGTCTGTACTCACTATCAGTATGAAATGCTCACCATAAAACTCAGCACGAAATGCTTTCGTGGGTCCATGCTGGCAGTAAAACACGACTGCTTTCCTTTGCTCCTTTGCTTCCCTAGCTTTGGCTGACGAAGGGTGACACTGGGAGCTGTACCCTGAGGCTTGCCCTTGGTGGCTGGTGGAACCTTTTCCCTGTGCAGTGGAGGGATGAGCTGGGGAGTCTCCTGAGGGTCCCCAGGAGGTGGGCAAACAAATCTGACTGACTGCTCAGCTCTGGGACGTTCCTGCTCTCTTTTCTGTCCACCCTGTTTGGTGGACAGACTGGAAACCCGCGATTGCTGTCTGCACCACCTGCTGAATCTGGTGACAATGGGAGCTGGGGTGACAATTCCAACAGCAGAAACCACAAACTGGTGTGAGCACCAAGGGGAATTAAGTTGTAAAGGGCAAACCACCATCAGAGAGCAGCAAGGAGCTGATACACGGCTCTGGGAAGGGTTTTGATCTTCTCCTCTCATACAGAGGGCACAGAGTATTATTGGTTCTACCTCTCATCTTGTCTGTGAAATATCACTCCAGAACTGACAGTGTTAACAAATACAGTGAAAGAGACTGCTCTGTAAGCTGAGCTACATGGTCACATGCACAGGTTTTATTTTTAACATCCCAAAACTACTTGATGTTTCTGCCTGGGCTCGCTCCATGCCCTTCTGTTCTCTTCTCTTTCTTTGCTTGCAGTTCTCCCTCACCCACCTCACTTCAGCCCAGCTGAGCACAACCAGGAGAGCAAGTGTTTGGTACACACACAGGGGCTCTATGATCAAGGTAAGGCTTTTTTAAATAGAGTTGGAGTTTTTACTGAACAGACATTATGCAGTGTAATGGTTACTCTATCGAGCTGTGAAAATCAAGACATCTTCAAAACAGCCTTAGTAATTAAGATGAAGTAGAATAACCATGAGATGTCTTAAATGACACCCTAAAACAGAGGCAGCTGGTAACTGTGAGCACTTTTGTGACATACTACTCTAAAAAAAACCCCTCCATAATATATTCAGTGAATTAGCTGTAGTTTGCAGTACTGTATCCAGGGTTTTAAAAACTAAGATGCTGATTGTAACATGGGAGCTTCAGCAGCAGGTCAGACGATAAATCAAAAATTCAGTCTCTGTAATTTTCAGGAAACTCTGAAGAGAAGTGAGACAAGGAGATACACTTGGTGTATCCCTATGGGTCAGGGGAAAGGCAAGAGCAATCTTGTGGCAAAAATGCTCAGACTTAAAATCTTATGAGTTTTGTAGACTCAGACTGCAAACTTTATGTTGGCAATCCAGACTGAATGAATGGTGAAGTAAGAATTACAAGGGTTACAGGTACAACTGTACCATTTAATCTTGTGGCTGCCTAACAATTTTTATTCATGAATCTCTTCTCTTTTATGTTTTTTCTATGACTTAGACCTTAACCAATAGTTCTGAAATTCTCTAAACTGAGCACCTGCCTTGGGCTGCCTTATGTTTTGTTTAAAGCCATTCACTAGATTGTCTCAGTAAGTTTTCAGAAAAGTATGTTAATGAGATTGTTACTGG